TAAACAGCAGTGACGTTTGTAGGGTTACTGAAGTTGGGCTAGCTGGTATATAATGATGTGCTACTTGATCGCTAGCTACACAGCTATGTTAGCATAAACACAGTGAAGCTGGAGGATGAACGCTAACTTTTTTCCACTCGATAAAAGTTAACGTGAGGGTTCCCGATGGTTAGGCACAAATGCTATCGCATGGCAGGATGCTGTAAACGGACCAAACTTCAGTCAGGAGAACAACTGAGATAATCCATCCACAATACGAGGTTAGTCATTAATATACTGCTGCATGGGGCTGTAGTTACATCGTAAGGGTTTAAAATCTGAGCTTTAAAATGAACAGTGGTGATAAAAACCGAGAGAAGCCGACAGTGATCACTGACTGTTTTTTGGGGGTTTTTTTGTTCAGATTAAATAGAACAAGATACAAAACATGTTAAAAACACAACAGCCTTAATAAACACAGTAGTTTGGGCCCACAAGCAGGGCTCATATGTCATCACTTAAAACCCGATAACTGTTGACATGAAAGCTCTCAGGTACTTGAGCCTGTGCTCATTTCTATACAAACGTTCCCACTAAATACATTTTTCCATAATAGTCCCTCTTTAATAACAGCTACCACATGTACTGCTGATCAGCAGTGTGAGTGTGTGCGTAACTCTGAAATAACAGGGCTACTGATGCTTCTGAAGGCACTGAGCCATGACACTTGGATATGCACCATAAACTCCAGCAGCAGCATTCTCACATGCATGTTCAATGACTTAAGCTACTTTGAAAAACAACGGCTTGGAGATTGTAATTCTCTGCATGATTTAATATGTTCTCTGCACAGGCTGCTAACATCAGGAGCTCCAGCTCAGCTGTCCCATGCCCTTAATTAGTCAGAGATGTTTGTTAAAGCTTTTTATTGCATGAATAGTTTATCCTCTTGACGTCAAGGTTAAAAGATTTTCTTTTACCTCCCTGTAAGGTCAAGTTTAACACCAAGCCTTAGCCAGCCAGTCGTTCTATGAGTGACGCCTTCAGAACAATACGACACTCTGACATATGTTCATCCTCCTCTGACACTCCATTTATCAAAAATAAGAACAGGGTATGTATTTGCATTTGCTGTCAGACAGTAAATGAGTCTTTGACAGAGCTGTAGACGATCCTGTCAGTGCTGTTTCAATGCTTAAAATCTCAGCTATGATCATGGTGCCTCTCCAGTGGCAGTCCTGTTACGGTACAATTCTGCTGGGATCATTCGTGTCCCGTTTGCTTTGACACAGCACTGTTGCACACTAAGGACTTCCCCCATGAAAGCTTCCTCCAGCGGGACAATGCGCCATGCCACTCCACAGAAAAATCCTCAGTAACGGCTCAAGAAGCACAACAAAAAGCCCGAGGCAACGACACAGCCTCCAAAGTCCCCAGATCCCAGTCCAATCAAGCATCAGCTCGAAGCTCAGGAACTACCCCGATCCACTGAGACCCTGCCCACTACCCCGAGTATCTGACTCCAGGAAAACCCTTAGTTCAAAACTCTGAAGGCCACAGCTGCATTAGGTAATCCTACAGTGAAGTGCAGCACACACCTATTTACGTATGCATCCTATTACGTCTGCAGTCTGTGAATCAAACACACACCAGTTAAATTAAGAAGAGAGAGTAAACAAACCCTAATTATTACGAGCATGCTCATGCTGTGGATGTAGGCGAACCCATGCATGTGTGCACGCAGCGAGCAGCGAGTATCTGAGGACCACCTGCAGTACATCTGTGTTATGGCTGCCAGAGGCTACATTACATCAACTCCTGTCTCCATCCACCCTCCTCCCCGCTCCGCTCTCTCTGATGTCCACACAAACACAACCTTTATGCACGCTAGCGTGATGTTCAATCGCATCACCCTCTGCACGCATACACCCCCCACCCCCAAGACTAATACCACCTCATGCCACCCACAAGCCTCTTTCTCCACACAGCGTTCAGCTGCAGAGCTGGTCTAGACCCCTGTTTCTATAAATAGCAAGCAGCACCCAACACTGCCAGCCAATTGTGCATTGAGCAGCTATGTCTCCAAATACGGATCAACACAGAGAAGCAGCACCGGATGTTTCTGATCTACATGTGACTACACCATAAAGGCGCTACGCTGCTAATTTTGTGGAGCTCAGTGTGCACGAGATAAATAAGAGTAACACGTCAGCTCTCCTCTGCTTCTCAGTCATTAGCAACCACTAAGGTACAAAAGCTAGCGAGCTTCTCAGTTTAAGCCAGCACCGACCTTGTTATTGACACCTCTAATGATAACCATCATTAGCTCAATATTGCATTAAATCAGCTCAAGCTAATTATCATAAATGTCACAAGCAGCTGAGTGAAAAGTAAACAAGTGGTGTGATTAACATGGACACGCTGCGTGTGGCCTGCGCAGCACTGACCCGCAGCGCTCGTGGGATCGTGTGTGCTGAGACACCAACAGCAGCAAAATGTTTTCAGTCCCTGAACAAAGCTATTATTTTTGGAGACACGGGGTATAAGGTACATAAATTCAGATTTCACAGCCGAATGTACGACTATTTTGTTCACGTGTCGTCTGACAAATGACCTCCGGAAAATGGAGTTAGGACATAAAAATAGCAGAATCAACAAGCCCGAGCAGCTCCTAACAACCAGCACAGAAACTCTGCATGTGCTCATATCTGCCACTCTGCTTTAGACACATCAGCGTCACAGGGCGCCATGTGGAGCGCTGCCCCACCTTTTCTCTAACTTTAAAAACTTACTGCTTCATCCCTTCATTAAGCAGCACGGCAGCATCACAGAGGACCCGACTGATCTAATGAGTCATGCATTAACCAGACGCTACACCCTGATTGTGATGGTGCT